GCCCGGCGGGCCCGTCATTTCACTAGTTTCGAAATTTTCAAAAAAACACATAAGGGGGGACATGTGATTTTTTTCGACCAAAAAATTTTTTTCGAGTTTTTCGATCTTTTTTGATCAGACAGACAAACAATCCGAAATACGAAAAAAATGGAAAAAATTATATTGAGAGCTCAAAATTTGGCTCAAAAATACAGAATTTTTAACACCGGGCCCGGGCCCGGGCTTTGGCGGGCCGGCCCGGAATTTTACAAGTATGATAACAAGAGAACTCAAGATAGTAGAGATACCTCGAGATAGTAGGTTTGGCTATTTATAAATTTAAATTCAGGATTAAAACTTCTTTTCCTACTTTTGTTCAAAAAAGTTTTATTCTATTTTTTAAATCGATATTATATAATTGGTCCGTTTTTTATGAGTAATATAATTTCGATCCGGTGAGTTGATTAAAAGTATTTAAACATTCGTTGAACTATAGTGTCCGGCTAAAATGTTTCCAATTTTTAATGCTTCGTTTTCAGATAGTCCCTCCTCCACACCAACCGATGACCCACTTCTCCGATTATCCAGTCCCCACAACTCATCACCATTACCATCTACACCATCATCATACGTTGAAACAAGACAACTTTCATTTGATCTCAGAAGTCACCAATCTTCTAGGCACATGAATAAGAATGTTAAAAAGAAATAAAATGTGTCTTTTCTTTTGGTTTACGATCTCTAAACCCACCCATCTAACTACAGTAATCATTGGGATAATCGTCTCGACGCACACACTTTTTATTGTGCCTTTTTTCCCTTCGAAACATGTGTCTTATTTGTCGACAGAGGCAATAGTTTTATGGCTCTTTAAGTGGGAGGTATGACGATTAGAAATGATGTTGCGAGGCTGTCAGAATTTGAAGAAAATTGAAGGAGCGATGTCAAAGTACAGTTACCGTATTTCCTCTAACAGAAGTCCACCCAAGCCATCAACTTTGAGCTCAATTATCTAGATTTCTGGGAAAGATATCAAGAGTTTGTCAACTGATAAGTTGTTTATCATAACCAGCCTGTTTGCCGCGCCTCAGGCGCTTCAAACAGCTGGCTGGTGCGCCTTAAGAGCAATTTACAATTTTTTCAATTTTCAAGCTTTTAAAAAAATGTGTGGACAGACTAACAGAGAAAGAGACGCAGCTTCATTTATTTATTATAAGAATGATGATATCACCAATCAGTTGACAAACTTTTGATATCTTTCCCAGGAATCGAGAAAATAAAACTCTTTTGATATGGAGTTGATGATATGGGGGAGCTAGAGGAAATGCGGTAGTTGCATTTCAATCTACGATTTTACTTTCTACGACTGTTAAGATCCATATTTCTCACAGGTCTCAATCAAAAACATTTTCTACTTTTTGAAAAAAAAACGTCTGTCTTCGGAAATTATACGAATTTCAAACCAAAAAAAAATACCACTGCCTCGAACTGCTTCACGAAAAAAAACAAACAGTAATTGATTTCTAACATTTATTGATTTCATCGACATAACACAACAATTAAGCACAGAATTTTTTCATCCAAGTTGCTTGAGAGTCACGAGATGTGGGTACATGTTTCCATACGAAGAGGTCAGATCCGCGTTCTTCACCAATCCCTCACATGGGTTCTTTGCAACTCCCAGATTACCACATCCGGTCATCAGCAACTGCTGGGCTCCGGACCATTCGGTTGGAATGGTGAAGGATGGGGAACAGATGATGCACAATGGATTTTGAGCAGCACACGATGCCTGAAAATGGATTTATATGGGGTTCATAAGGGTTCGAACTGCTGTGGTATGCGTTTCCGCTCCAATGAAAAGGGGCGTGGCAAAGTTTTAGCCCGATTAAAAAACAAATAAATTGTCTCAATGCAAGATAGTGAGAGACACAGAGAATAATTTAGCGCAAAAATAAATTTCCAGCTGACACGCCTCTTCTCATCAGAGTGCAACCGAATACCACAGAAGTTTGATTAGTATGAACTCGTAACTTACTGCAAGAAGAGCGAAAAGAAGAAGCGAGGAGAGGAGAGTGAACTTCATGATTTTTTTAGAATTCTTTCCAGAAAATTCTATAGAAATCGAATAGTGAAGATATGAGTCGCGGGCACCCTTTTTTATACGGAGAATCTCATGGGAATGGACGGCCGTTCCCATCAGAAGAGCTGGGAAGCCGACGAAAATACACCTTTGAAATCAGCCGCTGTGGAATTGAGAAGTCGTCTGAAGTTGTACAGTTTCACATGGAAAGTAAAAATATTGTCAGTAGATATATAAAACTTTTATTTCTTGCTGACTTTCAATATAAATTTTCAAGTCGGTTTTCCAAGGTGTTCCGATGGTCCGTCGACAGTCCGTCAACTGCCCTCCCGTTCTCCTTCGGTTATCCAACTAGCAGTCATTCGCCAGTTTGCGCCTCTTCAGCTGTTATTTAGCAGTTTTTCAGCAGCATCCTTCGACATGTGTAATCACATTCTAGGGATTACTCGACTCCGACTGTGTGAGTTTCAAAATTTTTTTTCGAAACTTCCACAAATCCAGCAATGCTGAAATTTCAATGCTGATTCTAGATTTAATAATTTTTAACTTTATTCAGATTACACAAATAATTTCCCAGATTAAAATAAAATCTCAAAGTTATAATATCCAAATATTCCCCAAAATCGAATTCACTTCTGTGGTTGGTGATGTTTCTCGCGTAGTGATTCTGTCCAATTCTTGGTCATTTCTTCTTGCTGAAAAAATTTATAGCTTTGCTGGAAGAATAATTTTTTTTAAAAGAACAGTTTCATTCAGAGCCGTTCAATTCCCATGCTGTTAAACAATACATACATAATTCGATTTTTTTCTCGCCGCCTACACTTGAATTCGAAAATATAAAAAGGTGCCAATAGTCTTTGGAGGCTTCACACTTTTTCGAATACTAAAACATTGAACCGATGAAGAAGTTGGTGGTTTTGGCGCTTCTTTTTTTGGCTTTAGGATTGGTGGTGAGTACAATACCGTCACAGGTGATTCGCGAACAATCCGTTACGGGGCGCTCAGC